GATTAATGAAAGGTTATCTTAGGACATATAAAGTTGCTTCCCCTATATGCGCCCCCCCCTAGTGGCACAGCGGTATGTCTGCGGACTTACAACGCTAGAAACCGGGTTTCGATACCCCTGGTGGGCAGAGCACAGATAGCCCTTATGTAGCTTTGTGCACAATTACAAACAAACACTTATATGCAATTGTAAAAAAAACGCCCATAAAATCTGCAAAACACAAAATGAGAAACCGCAAGATTGCATGTATCTAACAAACCTTCATGCCAAATTTGATGAAGATCCATCTACTTTTTCCCACACCATTCTCATTAACTTAACCTACGTAAAAGTCAGTGTGTGTCACGTCATGCTTGATTTCTCCAAATTGGAGGAGTCATAAAAGCCAAAATGCATTTATCCAGATAAGATTGGTCGATTACTGTCTGTCCATTACGATTTTAGTGTCGCGGGTGTCGTAAAATGTTATAAGTATAGTGAGTGTTGATATGATAAGCCTAAAGTAAAGACGTAGTGTGGGATCACCTAACCTATAAGAACCAATTGCATGAAATTTATCATGAAAGTAAAAATATCGATTCAATTTTAAACTTAAATCGTTTCAGAATTAAGCCCTTTTCTGTTATATCACAAACGTTTTTAATAAAAAATAAACATCTTTAATCAACGGAGACTCTAAGAAATCAACAAATATATTTCCAGTTTTGTTGTCTATATATTTAATTTTATACTTTCAGTACACATACTAACAACAATATATTGCTGCTAAGCGATATGACATAAAAGCCGTTATTGGAACGTAGTGTTACCAAAACGCATTGGCTTTTCTATACATTAGAAGTTGATAATTTAACTATTTTTTCCCCAATAATTATTCTCTGAATGATCCTAATTTTGATTTGCTCTCAAAGGAATTTACCGAAGTTTGACTGTCTCAACTGCACTTTTTGACTCTTTGTTGGTCAACCCTTGATTTCGCAAAGTTTATTTATTTCTGTTAGCTATGAAATGTGAGGTTAGGGTATACTATGGGGTGGGGGTGTAGTACTTGCCCCGTCATTTTAATTAGATAACACACCTTCTTTAAAAGTTCGTTTTAATCATCAAGAAAGAGATTATAGCCACTTTTTAATGGTAATTCTAAAGCATGTGGTACATAAGTGTTCATCAAATAAAACAAGTTATTGATGATCTCGTTAAAATTATTCTTATTATTGTAAGGTATTGTTACGTCTCCGTTCGTTAGTCGATTTTCCGTAACTTCGTTCCCACGAAACTTTAGCGACACAAGTCCTTTCTTAATAAAACTGGTTTATTCTTCCTGAATATAACTTTACCGATACACTTATTTTCAACAGTCGCTCTATAACAAACGCTAGAACGTCTCACGTGCTCGTGCTCGACAATACTTAGTTCAATTACTCACTACACCTTTCCCGTCACGTTGTGACCGTCTTATATATACCAGACTACCCCCAATCTAGTAATCTCCCGATAATTCACGAAGGTTCGAGAGAAGCAGTGGCGTGATACTAGTCACGTGACCTCGCAGACGCAAAACTCCCCTCCTTCGTATTGTTCGTCCCGAACAATAGCCACTTACAATAAACCATCCCTTATGCTTGGGCCCTCTTTTTGCACTACATGTTCTGCACCATTCTTCCATATCTTGCCTCATACCTATCCAGTAAATTCTTTGTCATAGATGACGCAATGTCTTCCTAATTCCGAGATGTCCTCCTGTTAAATTATCATGGAATTGATGCAGCACAACTTTCCGTAACTTCCTCGGTATTACTGTTTGCCAAGTCGTCACTTTCCCATCTGTAGTTTCCCATCTTTGGACAAGAATACCATTTTCAAGCTTCAACTGGTCCCATTGTGCCCAATAGTGCTTTGTCACAGGGCTTAGACTAGACACCTTCTCCCAAGCAGGGTGCACAACACTTGCTTTTAGAAAATCAATTATTGGCTTCAAATCTTGGTCTTTCTCCTGTTCTGCTTTGATATCTATATTTGGTTCCACTTTATCATCATCAACTCTTTCAGTCGGCTTGATTTCAGCTTGATGGCACCTAATTAGTTCAACCTCTCTTTTAACTGTTACGAGAACTTGGCCTTTGTTGTTCCCAAACATCGTTTTATCAAAATCAATTAGAAACTT